GGGGGGGGTCGGGGTGTGACAACTGTGATCACAACTTTGTCATCGACGTCACCTAATATATTCATATAAAGTGGAAAGTAGGTTCCGCCTGGGCACTCAGGTCAATTCAGCTTCGGTCATTTTCAACACTCAGGTCCATTTGCTTTTTGGGTTAGGCCTCCTAATATACGTGCAGGCCGGATTCAGAGTCGAACGTACGACTCGTCTGACGTTTGCTTGTGTTGTTTTCGCCCGGAGAACCCCCCCGTCTGCAGCCTCTGATGTCTCTTTAAGTGTGACGTTCTTTTCATGTCAGAAAGAACCTAACAAAAACATCAATTTTGATGGCAGCGCCTCTACTCAAACTCTGCATATTAGGCTCCAAACGGCTACCCGCCTACAAAAGTTTTGTTCTATGCAGGACGTCGAAATGCCGTACTGGTCAAAAGGCCTGAAGATCCATTGCATTCCATTGCCAGGTTTGAAGAGCACAACAGCTCGTCAACTGGGTGTTCCAATTCGTTTTCATGATCACCTGCTGTTCCACTTTCGAGATCCTAAGTTCATGTCCTTACTTCTCACCCAGATCTCTCAAACACACCCATCCACCTACGCCGTGTTCGGCCCCAGAGCCGGAACGCGGTGCCCCCGAGTGCCCCGAGTGCCCCCACGGAAGCCGTGTAGGGGCTCAGCGGGTCGCACTAAGATGAGCGTGGCAGAGGAACGTAAAAGCAGGAGCCAACCTGGAAGCGAACAGCCAAACCGAACGAACGGCATTTGGGGGGCTAGTGGAGGGGGCCTCTTCTTCCTTGAAAGCCCGGAAGGCCAAAGCGTGACCAAGAAACTAAATACATATTCTATTGCTCACTGCCCACGCTCTTGAAAGAGCAGCGCACACAAACGCTGCGGCTTCGCGCGCACGCTGTTACATACGTCTCCCATTCTGGACAACAATAACAAAGTGGTTCCGGCACAAGGACGCGAAGCGTTTTCGATCTAAGAGTTACGTGAAGTCAATCACGGGGACAACATGCAAAGCTGCACCAAAACAATTATAGAAGCATCGCAAATCGCAAGTGACAACCTGTCGCCACATCCTGAACACGCAATTTCCACAGTCAAGGCACAAAAAGCAACAAGTGCGCAGTTGACAAGTTAGCGCGCAGTTGACAAGCGCAGCAAAAAAAATTACATTGGACAGTGTCGGCTGCCACTGTGCAAGCAAAGCAGAAGATCTTCGCAGCCCAACAGCCATCTGCTGTTGTATCACGAGACCTTCACCCCACGGCGTTCCCACGGCGTTCCATCGGCGTTCCCAAACGGTTTGTAAGGTTGCTCGACTTGGACCGAATGACAAACACCAATGCTTCTTCAACCTCACCACAGCACTCCCTTACCTTACATGTAAAACACTTCGAGGCATCCATCAGCAGATCTTTGCCAAAAGCTCCTTTCGCAAGCGCCACAGGATCTTTTTCGAAACGCAACTGTCAAGCAATATAGGAAGAGTAGTCGGGCAGAGACAGTGAGTCTGGCACATAAGCAAAGCGCAAACACCGAAATGATGCACCGATCGTCACATGAATACCTGCATGAGAACATGTGAGCTAAAGATAATGATTGAAATAGCCCTTCACGCCACTGCCACACAGTTGCATGGCTGCACGAACCACAAAACCAGCAGAAACAAACACGATCAAAAAAACAGCAGGCAAAGCAAAAGAACACAAGTCACAACCACGCGCGAAGAACAAACACACCGTGAGCAAGCTCGCATGGATCCCCTGAGCAGATCTCAAGTCTGTCAAGGTTGGGATCTCTGCAGGGTGGCCACTCCTGAAGGCAACGCATAGCAATCCAACTCATCAGGCGAATGCAAGCGACCGGCAAAGCTGGTGGGTGGAACGGTGGATCTTTCAATGGATCCTTTTTGGAATTGTGTTTTTCAATCTGTTGCTTTTTGGGGGGGAAGGGTCGTCTACGTGTGAAGAACCTGTCCACTTGTGAGCGCCAAGATTTGGTAAGAGAGGATGCAAGATCTCAAGCAAACATTCAGTAAGGAAGCCAGGAGGGTTTAAAGGGGGAATACCTTATGAGCGAGTTCCCACACTTGGAAACAGTAGCTACGCAAGCAGGCAACCGGCTTCCCAGGACATCGCAGATGCACTCAAAATGTGAGCTCTAACCTTCAGCACTTTTTGTTCACATGTGCTCACGCCACACAAGAGCAAGTTCCACACGGCACAACACGTGCATTTCAAGCAAAAGACCACACGAGTGAGTTGCAGCCAATCTGGTTCTTTCCAAGCTGCGTTGGGCGCCAGAAATGACTCATTGCCGGGCTAATAATGCCTGACGTAAAACGATTGAAGCAACGGCGCAAGATCTCACCGCCACAGTAAGTTCGTGTTGCACAGTCGCAAGTGTCCGACACAAAACCAACCCGCACATCTTATTGGGACTTTCTGGCTTGCATCAAGAAAAGGCAAACGCCCAAGACATTATTTTCGAAGAATTGAGCTTTCAGTTGTGCTCCGGCTCTGCATTTTAGAAAGATATTTTCCGAAAAGGAATTTTCCTCAACAGCAAAATTGAATGCTGGTTTTGGTGACGATGCAGGGTTGCCACAAGGTTTCTTTCTTGGATCAGGTGGCTCCTGCCAAACGGAAAGGGGGTTGTGGGGCTGTGGTGAAATCTTTGCTGCCGCTTAAGGAGCACACGGAGATGAACAGAACATGTATAATTGGTTCACTTCCTGTTGGTGTTGCTTGACATGTCTTGACCAACCTCCATGTTCTTCCTCAATGCGTGTTCCAACCGGTCAGCGCGTATGTCGATATATAATTCCAAGTCAAAGTTTCAGGGCTGGAAGTCTAGAGAAAACACACACACACACACACGCATATGGAAAGGACATGTAGAAGCACGCGCATGAGTCATGAGGGCTCACGTGCACCTATGAGAGCACGTTTGCTGCACCTCCCACAAAGTCTGCATTCAAGGTCACTGCTCCACCTGCCAGGAAATCTACACTTCAAGTCCGAAAATGCACACGGCACCACAACGAGAGCGCAGTCTCGAAGAGCACCTGCTTGCGCCCAGTAGATTCTGCGAGCCTGCGCAGTCGAAATGCACTTCGAAGATCATGAATGCACTGCAAATAGCAGCAAATTGGCTGGGGCGGACGCGAGCACCTCCGATCAGACACCCAGCCGCAGCCTTAACTTACACCTATCAAGGACCCCTAGTCTTGCCACACGTTTAGAGGCAAAAAGAATCTGAAGGGGTAACGTAGGAACTTATCGTACCTGCTATAGTTTCTCTTCTACCGTCGTAGCCCCTCTCCAGTATGTGTGAGTGTGTGTGTGCCCGTTGTAGTCACAGGGATTCCTTTGAATTGTTTTCTTTTACATGAGCAGGGGCGTGTGGCACTCTCGTCCTACCACACGCAACGAAGCTGTGGGCGAGAGTGGGAAGGGAAACTTGGCCAGTTTCCTGTACCTGCTGTGACAATTGCTCCAATCTACGGGCCCTGCTTGTACCTAAAACAAGAAGAAATCCAGCCTTTGCACCGGTTTGCTCTCGGCAGTCACGCATAGGGCTTTGGTTTCGACTTGCAGATGTGAGCGGACGACGTCATTCTGTCGATCGATCGTTCGATGGTTCCTTACCTGTACTCTTATAGGTAATGGTAACCTAGGCCGGCGTGTGGCACCGCTTTCAGTTCAGTACACCAAGTGTGTCTCTCCCATTGAGAGTCCGGGATGAGCCCGTAGAGTGCCTCCCGTGGACCCGTCGAACGGGTGTCTGTCGAACGTATCCCCTGCCCGGATACAGAGCAGCTCGCAGCGAGCGTAGGTGGCCTAGGCCGAGAGAACTCAGATTTTTTTGTCTCATCTTTGGAATTCCAAGTTGGCTCACGCCTTTACGTGACCACAGCGGTCAAAGCAGCCAGCCACTTTGGCAGGGCACAAGGTGACCACAGCGGTCAAAGTACTTTTGCGGTTCGTTGGAACCTGTCGAGACCTTGGGCGCACATACAGCGTGTACATTCAAACGAGGCAGGTTCCTAGGTTGTTGCAATGAGGTTTGGCTTCATCGGTTTCGGTCCCCTCCATTTGGTTCCCCTTTTCATCCTTTCCCCTTTACACACTTCTTTTCTCTTCTTTTCTTTCATGTCTTCCCTTGCTTCATGTCCTGTCATCTCATCTCTTTCCTTCTTTTGCGTGCACACTGCCCGGCCCTTAGCTTGTCCATGCACAACCTACTTTCAAATCAGCTTTCAGGTCGCCCAGGTTTTTACAATGAGGTGGGTTGTCATCGGTTGTTCCTGCGCACTTGGTTCCTTTTCATTGCAACCACACACACTCTTGTCCCGTCTTGTCCTCTTCATGTCTTCATTCTTTTGTCTTACTGGGCGCACACTCACACTTTTGCCCTGACCTTAGTGCTTCTCGCCTCCCCCGGGGAGGCGTGTGTGTGTGTGTGCCCCTAATTGTTTTCTTTACATGAGCAGGGGCGTGTGGCACTCTCGTCCTACCACACGCAACGAAGCTGTGGGCGAGAGTGGGAAGGGACACTTGGCCAGTTTCCTGTACCTGCTGCGATAATTACTCCAATCTACGGGCCCTGCTTTTACCTAAAACAAGAAGAAATCCAGCCTTTGCACCGGTTTGCTCTCGGCAGTCACGCATAGGGCTTTGGTTTCGACTTGCAGATGTGAGCGGACGACGTCATTCTGTCGATCGATCGTTCGATGGTTCCTTACCTGTACTCTTATAGGTAATGGTAACCTAGGCCGGCGTGTGGCACCGCTTTCAGTTCAGTACACCCTATCCTAAGTGTGTGTCGCACTCTGTTTCTAAGAGAGGGGGACGGGACACCAGGGGGACGGGCCACCACTGGCACCGCCCGTCCAACGAAGAGAGTGCCAGTCGGCGCTGATGCAGTGGAGGACGATCCACTGTGTACCTGCGAGTTGACAACACTCCACTCTTTGCCACTGTTTTTTGTTGCCATGCTTGTTCTCATGATAGATCCCAAAGCAGGTTTCCTTCACACTAATTCCATCGGCTACGTATTCAGTAACTAGAGCCCGCAGTCGCGCAAACCTTTTTGTTAAACACCTTCACTTCCACCGACCCAGCCGCCTTTCCGTTTGCGTCCATTTTTTCGTTAAAGCGCTAACACGTCATGAATTTCAGTTGAGCCGACTTTGCGCCTTTCCGCTCCCTCATCCACTTCACTGCGGATTATGGTTAATTGCAAACCCGACTAAGTGTGTATCGCAGTGTCGTCCCACTGGGTGCACAGTGTGATCCCCCGCAAGGGGGGGCTGAAACCATGGTGAATCACATATCGATTAAGCGGCCTTGAGTTCTTGGATTATGATCTCGGATTGATTTTGTTTCACCCATGAATCAACTGAACCATATGCCGCCGGGCTCACGGATAGAATGCCGCCGGGCTTACGGAGGATGAACCCCCACGCCGGCCCCCCCTCCAGAAACAACCTATAAACAACATAGAAGCAGCATAGAAACAACCTATAAACAACATAGAAGCAGCATAGAAACAACATAGAAACAACCTCAACAGTCAACACAAAAACAACACAGAAACAAACAAAACATTGGCTTGGAAGTTACACATGAAGTTGGTTTTCACAGGTAACACACACAAGCAGCATTGGAATGAATTTACACCTTTGAAGTTTGTCTTCACAGGTAACAGACAAGAATGGTTTCCGTCAGCCTTACCTCAAATTACTTGAGAAGTGTTGCAGTATATATTTCAAAAAATTGAGAAGTCAGTTTGATTGAGAGAGGAGCTTGTCACAACCAATTTACTCATCTGCCTTGAGAGAAGCCAGGGATGATATACTTGAGAAGTGTTGTTTGATCTACTTGAGGAAAGGTGTGGGAGCACTTGGTGTCGCTGTGTTTACTTGAGAAAACTTGAATATGTTTATTGGTGTACTTTCACCAAGTTACTTGAGAAGCGTTGCGAAAATTTTACTGGAGATCAGGTACAGCTCTTTTTACTTGAGAGAGGTCTTGTGGGGTTATCGAGGTTGCTATCTTGAGACAAGAAAATGATAAATGTAAATGGTCATCTTGACATTCACAAGTAAATGGTCATCTTGACAAGAACTGTTCACAAGTAAATTGCAGTCTTTGCATTTGAGCCGTTCACAAGTAAATGACAATCTTGCGAAAACACCTGGTCGCGAGTATGTCTAAGTGGCAGTCTTGGCAGTTGAGCTGTTCACAAGTAGATGACCATCAACGCTCACAGGTAAACTACAATCTGGACAGAAGAACTGTCCAAAAGTAAATTGCAATATTGGCACAAGACCTGGCCACAAGTAGTTCTTTTCAAAAAGCAAATGGCCCACAAGTACATGGCAATATTGACACAAGAGTGTACACAACAGTGAAAATAGTGGGCTTATGAAAAGTGCAATCCACAAACCTCACAAAACTGCCTTGAGCAAGTGGCATCCACAAAACAGTAAATGATGTCTCATGTAAAGTGAGCATAGCTTTCCGAAAACATATACGAATGACCCAAAAAAGTCGTACACAGTCCAGCGCCCAAAGCTATTGTGCAATTTGACTGCAAGGAAATACAGAAGGTGATTTGCAAGAAAAACAGCTTCACAAGTAAATGTATCCAGAGTTTAATGAACTCACAAGTGCAGCATCAGCATGTCCAGAATATAACATGGAGATAACACATTTGAATATGTGTGTGTACTTTTGATGTGTGTTTGTTGATTTTCTGCTTATTTTCTATGTACTTTTATGCAGTTTGTATGCAGCTTATATGTAGTTTATGTGCAGTTTTGAAAACTACATGTAGTTCTCAAAACTGCATGTAAACTGCATATAAACGACATATAAACTGCATACAAACTGTATATAGTTTTTGAAGTTCTTCTTGCACATTTCACCTATCAATGAATGCCGTGGCATGTAACAATACTCCTGAGCTAATTATAACATAACTGTTCAACATTTACTTGAGCAGTTCTCCAATAACAGAATTCCCATGAATACTTTCATTTACTTGTGAGCAGTTCTTGTTGTGAAGATGCGCATTTGCGTGTGAACACGTCTTGAGTGTCATTTACTTGTCAGAAGTTCTTGCTTTGGAGATGTGTATTTTCTTGTGGCTTGTTCTTCAGTAACTTCTGTCATAAACTGGTGGGCAGTTCTTGTGAACAGTACATTGAATGCCATCTTCAATCTTCCTACAGCTTTCTGCGGCTTTTTGTTTTGAGAGATTGTAATGTATTGTGGGTGATCCACTGCGCTCATGGCTGATGGAATGCCAAATGAATCTATGGTGGCCCAAACACCAGCAAAGTCAGAGAAAGATAGTGAGAAGCCTTCATCAACAAAGGCAAAAGCTGCTCCCAAGACTGCGCCCAAGGAAAAGGCAAAGAACAATGTTATCAAGAAGTCAACCCAAGCCCAAGCCACCCAAATCAGTGCCAAAACCCTTCAAGCGACCTTCAGGACAAGAACAAACCTGGCAAAGCTGGAAGGTGGGCATTGCGCCTGTGCCTGAGGAGAAGGACAAAGAGGAGGAAGCAGAAGAAGAGAATCAGAAGGAGGAGGACCCAGAAGTAGACCCAGAGAAGAACAAGAGTGCAGAGACCAGAGACCAAGTCAAGCAACAGAAGTTCACGCAGATGCTTGCTGCCGGTGAGATCCCAGAGTGGATTGCAAGGTTGTGGAGGAGTACAAAGAAGTTCAAACATGGCAAAAGAGACAAGCAAACCCTGATTTTGTCAACAGCCTGTGTGATAGACAGGGGGAGGTTGATCATGAACACAGACAAGGCGGTTTTCAAGAACATGCGACATGTGACATGAGTCAAGTGAACAAATTTTGAGAAATCACTCTTGCAAAAACTTAAACACAGCCAACAACCACAACAACAAAACAACAACAGCGCAGAAATAACAGAAACCCAAAAAAACAACATATGACAACACATGTTTCAAGTACAAAAAATTGCTTGTCTTAATAATTTAAACTACTTGTCTTACTAATTTAAACTACTTGTCTTACTAACATTTACTATGGTAAAAATTACTTTGATTTTTTACCTCATTTTTACTTTACTAATGGAAATTAAGTAAAATTTTGGCAAGCTAATTTAGATCTGCAGACTCAGGGTAGAGGGATGCTGTTTCTATGTTGCTTATATGTTGTTTCTATGCTGTTTCTATGTTGTTTATATGCTGTTTTGACTTTGTGAAACTTTAGTAGTTAAAATGAGTTTTTCAACATTTTAGTTGAATACAAACAAATTTTTTCAGTTACATTGAATTCAACCAAAAACTAAATTTACTTGATCAGCAGACTCAGGGTAATTAGGGTAACAGAAGGAAATGGTACTCGACACACTCGTGTGTCAGCGCCTTTCCTTCTGTTGTCCCTGTTCTAGTCTACTCTACCCGGGCGGTTTAAGACTAAAGTCCCGCTCCCTAACTATTGCACGTAATAAACAGCTGCTAAGTATTCAGACACACACACATGGACATACACCCCCTCCCTGCCCCCCGCTTTCTCTCTTGCGCTTTCTTCGTTTTCTAGGTTTTCTTTCAGGCTTGTTAGGTGGTTCTTGTTGCGGCTCCTGAGCAAAGAACACCTGTTCAGACAAAAGATACCACCTGAACTCAAGGAACAACATGTTCAACTGGAAGGGGGTTGGGGTGTGGAGTGATTCCCTTATGCAGAGTATCCCTGCAACGTTTCCGTGTGTTTTTGAGTCGCAACGCAGCGCAAATACTCCTGCAAAACACACCGCCGCAAAAAAGAATAATGCGTGATTTAAACACACACATAAAACAACATAAAACAACCAGTACAAGCTGAAGCCTGAGTGGGCCCACGCCTTGATGCTGCATCTGAACTGTTAACGACCCGCGAGCCAACACTAGTGGGACAAATGCACAAAGAAAAGCAAAGGCTGGCAGTTTCCATGTTGGCACAATTGGTGTAGTCCGTGTGAGTGTTGAACAATGTTGCAGGTGGCTTAATCCGGCCTCTTACCCAATAGGCTTGGTCCCTCGCCCCGGTCCTGACCCCGGTCCTGACACTGATCAACGGACGGAGACGCACGGAGGTTGTTCCCCGAGCCATGGATGCAGCCGGAGCTTTTCAAACAGACATGCCTTGTCGAATCCCAAGAAAGCACATGTCACATGGCACTCCATCCAAATGCTTCAATTCGACTTCGTCTGGACAAAAATGGATCGTCACGTCCTCATCCGACCTTCGGTTTCGATGTGCCTGTCCCAGAGAGGTTTTAGTGACCTCATAGGACCTCACTAGAAAAAAAAACCAACTGGGACAGTCGAACAGTCGGGTTCGAACCAAACTCTGTTGGGTATGCTAAGAGGCCTTCGCTGCTGAGGGTAACCCTCCTCCCATCCAGCCACTCATCTCCCCACCCCGTTCCGTGTGCCAGGGGGCCCCAGGGATCGTCGTCCTGGAGTCAGATCGAGCATCGCATCCAGGACTGCTTTAAGAAGCAAGCGCCACTGATGGACACCGAAAACTCACATGGAACCTGATGGCATGGACCTTTGGAAGACTATTTTCCTCTACAACCCAGTGGTTTTCAGGTTCCATGTCAATCTTCCCGAGTGTATGGACACCGCAGAGCAGCATTTTTCCAGAAACCAACCGGTTTGCAAAGACTGTGGGAGTCCGAATCGGAAAAAACAAGAAGTGATTGAAACTGAAACGATCTATATTGTATGCATATGTGTGTGTGTGTTGTTTTTTCATTATTTGGGGGTCTGTATATTCTGGAACACTTTCCCAAAAAGCCTTGTGCGTGTCGTGGATGTGAGGAGTGGTGAGTGGTGGATCTTTCCTCCTACAATCCAGTGCCCAATTGGGACATCTCGCCCAACACCGGCCAACACCGGCCCCCACCAGCTCCTGGTGATCACCATCCTGCCAAACATGCGTGAGTGCAGCAGGATATGTTTCGTAGGATTGCTGAAAAACCTGCCTGTCCTGTTGTCCTGTCCTGTCCAACATGGGGGGGTTTTCAGCAGGCCTAGGGTTGGATGCCAAGCTCTACCTGTCTTTGGGGCACCGGACGGTCAAGCCCTGTCGGGGTGGGATGGTTGAGTCACCTGCGTCAACGGACAGGTTCATGAGCTTCGTTGCAAGGGCTTCCATCAACGCATACACCAGTCATTAAGACCTGCTCAAGACCATTCTCCTCTACAAACAGGCCCTCTTGGTCATGATTAGATACAAGCTGGGGTGGCTTCTACTGGGATTCCACAGCTCATCTTAACTGCGGCCTTCTGAACTGAAGCGGCTTCTTTGGGATTGACATGGATGTGACGGAGTCATTGAGCCAACTCTGGGATTGTCATGGGTGCCCAAATGCCCAAATGTCTGGATCTCTCTCCATCCATGGCCTGAGCTCTACTAGATCCACTTCATCACCGCCTCCGACCCCTCACCGCCTCCCACGGACCCCGGCGCCTGCGAGGAATCCCTGCGCGCCATCGGTCGTCGACTCGTCGGTCCCGGCGGTCGATCGGTGGAGTTGTGACTTCTCCACACTCCATGGGACGAACGATATGCGATGCCGCCCCAGACAGACCCCGGCACCACCACCACACACAAGGCCGTTTTGAAGGCAGTCCGGACTGGCAGTCCCATGGAGTGTCTAGGAATGAAATCTCATGGCCAAGAAAGGCAAATTCAGAATCCAGACTGTTCTGTGTACGGTAGCTGTATGCTCCAAAAACTGCAGTGACACAATATCGTAGCTGTACCATTTGTCAGCTGTGCCCTTAGATTAATCTTGTTATGCCTAGACTTTCTCCGTGTATGCGATGGAAACACATCACCGCACTGCAGTGCAACGTAGTCCTGACCCAAAATAGATGGTACTGGTGTGTACTGGTACCCTCATATCGTGAGTTCCACAGCTAAACACAAGAGCCGTTACCATCTTGACATTTCTTGACCATATGATTGCAAGAAACCTTGCATTCTTCTCTTCATGTTCTCCACTCCTCCACCTGGTCGCTGGGTTGTTACCACCTCCATCTCCTCGCCGCTCGGTCCCGGCCATAAGCCGCGCGGTCCGGTCTCGCCCGCGAGCCGCTCGTGCCGGACCTGCCCGGCAGCTCCCGCAAGGCCCAGTCAGAACCTGATGGCTCCCGCAAGGCCCAGGGAGCGTCGTTCTCCGCGATGAAAGAAGCATCGTATCCGCGGAGGTGATGGATTTCTCACCGAGGTGATGGAAAACAGGTGAGAAATGTCTCATCCATGATGAGAGAATTCATGACATGGCTTTGGTTCAGGAGCCTTGGCTGATTCTACTAGCTGATGTCTATCTATGGTTTCTTGAGTTCTAGACTCCGGCAAGAACATGGGGTCAAATACATTCAAAGGCTAGATCTATATGTTGTGGACTCTGAGACTCAAGGCTTTTCTTCGATCCATTAGAGCAACAGTTTTTAAAGTTTAAACAATGGACAAATAAATATGTTGTGTGGTTTGACCCTGATGAGGATTTAGTGAGTGTACTATCGTTGTCCACGTCCATCACGTTGTTTCTTCTTCTCCTTCCGTCTTCCGAGCAGTTTGGAATTTGGGGAGATCCCATGACCACTCATTGACCACTTAGTGACTTTCTAACAAACTTTGATCAATCATAGTTCATATTTAGGACAAAACCTGGAGCTCCAAGGTCGTGCGCGGTTCACCTCCTGTAGGTCGTCCAATCGAACAGGTCATTGGGTGGTCAAGCAGGGTCTCTCAGAGAAAGACCCACCAGCGATCTATCCCCCAACCAGTTTCGTCAACGCCAACTCGGCTCGCACACGGCAACTCAGTTTCTTTCACCAGCCCTGTGGGCCCTCGATCTGGCATCATCTTTCGAACCGGTGACCCGCGTAGTTTTTTTTGTCTTCCAGGGGGAAGAACATCTCCCCTTGTTCACTGACTAAGGAGCGAAAAGAGCACGGCCACCCCCAGCAGACTGGATGGTGACAAACCCTCCTCGGCACCTGCGCTTCCCTGGCACCCCACGAGCTCGGAGGATCTGCCGTCACCGCCCACGTCCAACTCGTCCCCGCCACGGCGAAAACAGATGAAAAAAGAAGGACACATGCCAGGGTTTCGTCCCCCGTCGTCCCCCGTCCTCGGACAGAATCATCCATGGAAGTGACGGAGAAAAAGAAAACCCATGGACGTCATGCTTGTTTTTTCATCCCCCGGCGGTTTCTAAGGGTTCACCCGTCCGTTTTTGATCCTTTTTGGAGGAACCCCTTGGCAAGCATGTAACTTCCAGACTGAGATATTCGTCATGCTGGGATCTGCGTCCCAATGGACGTCCCGATCATGTACGCTGGCTCTCCAACCACATCCTTGGAAGGTAGTTAAACCATGTTAAACATGCTAAACCCGCCTGGCACCTGGCATCTGCCCACCTTCGAAACAGAGGTACAAAGGTAGCCCCACGCCCTTGAGGGGTATGATCTTCCATCTTCCTGCGACTCTCGCCGTCTCTCCCACCCCCCCCAAAAAAAGGGAAAAACCATGAAAAACCCCTCTCTGGGCCCCGCGCGTGCAGCGTACCTCGCTCGCTCCGGCTCATTCGGGTTGGGACGGAGGGGTGACGGGCGGCTCCTGCGGTCCGGGAGGATTCACCCGTGAGGGTCGGCCCGATCTCTGGGACTCAGCCTGGATGGCGGGCAGCCTGGTCAATTGAGAAAAGAACATCAAACACTGCAGGTTTCAGTACATGCCATGAGCTTTTGGGTGGGGTTCAAGTGAAACACTACTTATTCGTTGGATGTCATGATGATAATGAACATCAACACTGTGATCTATCTTTGAGAAACAACTGGACATATGCGAAAATCCATGCAAAAAAAATAAACTATATACATGATACAAGGAACACGATATCTATACCTCAAGTTAGGTGGGTTCAATGACTACTGTACCAGGCTACCATCCTGCTACAGATTTGAACCGCAATTAAGCCAATACTTTCATAACGCGCAAAAACACAAATATCACCAACATCTTCTGTCATGATTGTTCGCCTAATTACCTTGCCTCAGGATGTTTGCCTATTCCACTGGCATGCAATTGAAGCAGCAAACATGTGCAGCTTTCAGGGCAAACGCCTAATTTTCGATGGTGTTTTGGTCCATGGTGGGCGCGACCGCACTGGGCGTCCCCGACGCGAGCTCCATCTTCAACGCCTCCAGCGCGGGCGCCGCGCTCCGTGAGAACCTTGGAGCGCACGCGGGCGGCTCGCGGGAGGGAGGGATTTCTTGGGATTTTGTGAAGCGGGGCTTATACCAGGACACCCGGACCAGGCGTCCATGCTTGATAGCCCCTTAGATGTGATTCGGGGCGTCCATTAACCACCCCGACAGTGGGTCCTGGTACCTACTGTATCCCACTATGGCCGCCCTGAAAAGAGTCTGAGAGCCAGCGGTGGATCCGAAGAAGGCCGGTTTGAGAGCTACGTCGTGGGGATCAGAAACGTAAAAGACCCTGACAATCTCTGAAGGTTTTCTTCTCGGTGACATGCCCATGATGGCCCCTAATCCACCCTAGAGTGCGCGCGAGAAGCACTCTGGTCATGTTTTATGCTAGGGTCCCACCATGAAATCGATATATCCAGAGGTTGAAGGACCTGAACTAGACTATCCCAGCTCGGTACCCCAGGTTGCGGTCCTAGTTCGGGTCACTGGCTACCGCAAACGTCCGGCCATCAGCCGGGCATCCCGGGCTGCTTCGGGTAGCCCGCGACGAACTGCTGCGACCCCGTCCTGGGACGGACACCCCGGCGCCGCCGGAGGGAGACGGAGCAGATCTACACAGGGGAGGGGGCGGTTTCAGGGAGGGGTCAATATACCTCAATCTGCTGTATACATGGATGTATTACATGATAATACTGTAAGGGACATGAAAGGGACATGAAAACCTGGGTGGATCAACTCGAAGTGAAGACCACTCCTGAAATCTCTTGGCATGGTGTTGTTGTCCTTTTCATCTCCAAAGCCTCTGTCGAGGTCCTCACCCTCTTGATCAACCAGACCGCCAAGCCACCCCTGCACCCCCAAACCCACCGCCTCATCATCTCCCACCCAAAACGAGCTCCAAACCCCCATTCTCTCAACGGCCCCCAACCACCGTCTGAACCCCAACAACGGCCCTTCCGCCCTGGTCACAGGTCATCGAACACCTCCACAGGTCATCCCCTGACCCTTCCACCCTGACCCCCTGACCCCCCCCAACAGAGGTTGAGAGACCTGAACTAGGACCCTGTACAGTGGTACATATATAGGAATGCGCCCCATGACTCGGGGGCTGTTGGCCCGGCACCGACCTGACTCGGTCGGTCGACCGGTCGGCTCCTCATGGGCGTCGGAGGGCCGATGGCCGTGACGTGCGTGGGGCTCGCCCAGCGCGCCGTGCGCCGACTGATCAACTCCAGGGCCTCGGCCAAACACCCAGGTTCGCCCTAGGGATCCAGTCGTGCCTTCCCAGGTGTTTGGAGACGCTGTTATGTAGGTGCCAGGAGGCTCCAAGCACCTGAGAAGGTACTTGGAGCTTTAGGGTTGGTGCCCAACCACTGGGGGGCCTGGAATCGGCGGGATCTGTGGGGTCCTGGAACAGTGGGGTGGAAGGTGATGGCATGACGAAGGATATCCAAGGTGTCGTCAATTGCATGTTTTGGGGCAAAACAGGGGGGCTCTAAGATCTGGAGCCAACACTCTTTAAACATATCACTTTTGTTATGTGGATTTAAGATCAAATACCTGCCACCCCAAATGGGTCTCTTTCAAGAAAAGCATCCAGCACTTCTTTCGACAGCTACTCCGTTCCCCCGCAGAACGCGGCTTTTTCTGGCGCCCGTCTACGCCAGTCTACGCGAGGTCATTGCGGGGGAACAGCACCTTCCGCGCCTGCAAGATCTTCGTCACCGTCACCAGCAGCGCGGAGATGGGCGCCAGGATAATCCACAGCAACGAGGCTAGGAGAAGCTTCAGCCCCTGCGGTGCGCCGCTCGGGGAATGCGCAGCCGCGCGCACCGGAAAGCGCGCGGCGCGACCGGTGGCGAGCGGCTCGCGGTGGCTCTCCGTGGCGAAGGAACACTTTTCAGGAGCAAGCACGCGGCTGTTCGACGAAGATGACCATATTGTGCTCTCTTTTCGGTGGCCTTGTCATTGTAAAGGACGAGATGATGAGTCCTGAATCGAACCCCAGATTCAAACCCTGTGTGGACTCCGCGTCCGACGCCCCCCCAAGGCCCGCCCCCCTCGCCTCGCAGCAACTGCAGCGGTGGCTCCACTCCTGCGAGTATTTCCGCCGCGATGCGGAGACCGCGACGGAAGAACGCCCCGGAGCCGATCAGCTTAGCAACTGAGTCCAAAGAAATGGATTAGATTAGAAACTCACTATATCAATTGTTCAATGGTTTATCTCCATTTCTTTGGATATTGAGATGGATAATGAAAGTTCTATCAATTGGCTTTCATGTCATGCTAGTATCTGTCTGGTGCATGGTATCGTTGTACACGTCTTCTGCAAGAGGTATCCAATTATCTAATTGGATCTGTTCAAGTTCAACAGGTATCCTTCCTTGGGCCCAAGAACTTGTTGGAAATGACCTATCTATAATATATATTTTAGAATAGTTTAAAATATTTTGGCTGTGGGATGTTGTGGCTCAATAGCAGAATAGCAGAATATATTACCTTGATTGACTTACCTGGAAGGTGGACCAGGGCTTGAGTGTTTGACATGTTTTGACCCATCACCATTTGTCTCATCGATTCTGGAGTTGTCTTCACCCATCTTCACCCTGTAGTGCTTCTTCGACTCACCCAAGCAGCGTCTCCCAACCCCACCCAAGCGCATTCTTCAGAAGGGCTTGTTGGGGACCATCCTGGATGTATAGTTTTTGCTGGGAATCCCCACTCATTTACATGACCCGGACCTGGTCATGAGCTCAAATCCTCGCTCCCAGCTCGCCTTCCACCGCTGGCGGAGGCGCAAAGCCAGCCGATAGCCTCGCGAGCCACCATCGCGATGACGGGAGAGCGAACCGCTGGAAGTCCAAAGACAGGGCCCCCGTTTCGGGGTGGTGACTGGATACCCCTTAACCCCTAAGGAATTATACACCCTTTAGGGGGCGCTGGTATATTTTGCCCCACTGAAGAAAAGGAAATTCCCTTTCGGGCAACCGCACGACCATTTTCAGTCTTGGACTTCCAGGGGGAATGAATGAAAATACACCACTATCAGTCCACCCTCTTTGGACTTTAAATCTCGAGCCTAATTTGGGGGGAGAATGGCGGAGAGGGGGGGGTTGGAAAGTATGCGCTTGGACAGATGGAAGCACCGACTTGGGATCAGAGGATTTCCTCCTCCCCAGTGTGCTTTAGATTCATGGTCATCTACGGTCTCTCCCAAAATTCGAGCAACCTTCCCTCCAAAAATCATGGAAGTGGATGGCACGGACCCAGCAAAGACCTTCCTCTTTCCATCAGGGTTGGTCCACTTCCATTGTTGGAGGGAATTCCAATGCACAGCCAGTTTGGGCCAATCATACAGTCTGACATGATGCACCTTTCGCGGCTGCGCGAGCACGGAGCGGACGTGTAGACGGGCACCCGCGCCGTGCCAGGGGAGGCCATAGTAGATGGCCTGCCGTGCACGGCATGACTAGGAGCACTGGCTTCCCACCGGTTCCGACGAAGTCTTCCAGGATCAAAACTGGTCAATTCCCCCCAACACGACCTGGAAGAGGGACTGCCATATTATATTGCTGAGGAGGCCACGGGTGGTTGAAATGGGATCAATGTATAGACTAGCATAATGAGATTCCAATGATTCCATGTTACATGGATCTGGATGGTCTGGGTGGTTTTTAATGTACTTAAAGTCAGCTCTCCCACTCCATTCATCCAGCTGTTCATCCAGCTTTTCGGCCCTTTGGGCCGGAGGAAAGCTCGGCGTCATTCATGATCCACCACTTGTTAGGGAATAAACAATGCATACTAAAATGAGTATCAGCTAGTATCAGTTATATTGTGTGGATGTCCAGGGCTACTTGGTTGGCGTGAGAGAACAATAGGGTGAAGCCGCAAAAAAAGAACGAAAAAAGTGAAAGTGAAGATCCGATCGATCACCATACGCAGAATAAAGATCCAGTCAAACCTGGTCCTGAACACCTCCATTGAGTCGTGTTTTTTGTATATGAACTCCAGTAAAATGAGGTCTTGGGCTGGTAGGGTGAATATTAAGTATCAAACCAGATCAAAGTAGTCTTAAATGATTCATGTCTCAAGAATAACCCCCACTCCAGTAAGTGGTGAGCATGACGAGTCAATCCACTCGCCCCAGATGGCCCCAGGGTCTTACTTTTTCAGCCGCACCCATATCAGGATGTTGGTTCCTTCGTACATATTCCTGGTGCCTCTCAGACTTGCAAAGTCGCTGGGACGCGACTCATCCCAGACCCCGATCGACTCATCTCATCCAGTGGCTCTCCGACCCGCACCGATCCCCTCCAAGTAGGGAGGAGGCATTGTCCTCCAGCTTTTTTCGATCTAATGATCATGGTTATGGAAGAAGTCTGGTTCATTCACGTTCATTCTTCAATCTTCCAAGAAGAAAGCAAACCTCCCACAACATCCACAACAGCACTTTCCCAACCCAATTCATCCATCCATCTGTCAGTCTGTCACCACCGTCACCAGCTGTTCACTATCTTCACCTGCTCTCACTCGCCTGTGCCAGCGACTGGCGCACCCGGGAAGGCTCCCGCAGCAGTTGATCGGGCACTTGCCCCGTGACCGCTCGGCAGCCTTCCTGACTCCGGGTTCGACTCCCGCAGCGCATCGGGCCGACCGCCGCCACGGACGCCCCACGGACGCCGCCACGGATGCGGTGGATAGGCGGACGAAGCCATGCGTTCATGGGCGTGAAATGGGCGTTCGGGGGGCCCAAACCATGCAGGATGTGCCTTGGAGTCTTGAAGGAGAAATCATGTGCCGGATCTTCAAGACCTGCCATTTCAGGAGTCTGAATTCAGGGGTTCTTCAGTTCTTGGAGTCTGAATTCCGGCTTCTTCAGGCTTCTTCAAACCTTCTCGTTCTCGTTCATCGTCCTTGCCGCAGCCCGCGCCGGCCCGCGCCCGCGTCCGCTGAAACCCACGTTCCATTGGTGCGCCTTGGAGACGATGAGGAACATCCCCCGGAGCGACGTGGTGAAGGCAGCCAGTCCCAGCAGGAAGGCGGCCAGGACCACCTGCGAGGTCGGAACCCCTGACCACTGGGGGGGTAGCAACCTGCACCGGAGTCTCTGGGCATCTGGGCCGGAGGAGGCGGGAGCAGGGTGGTAGGACCGAAGCGCTCGAACGAAGCGGGTGATGAGCTTTTTCAAGCTGGTTAGCCTTTTGGGGATTGGAGACATGTCGATGATGCTTGGGAGGATCTCCTGCTGAAAGGAATGTAGATGCCAGGCGACCCTAATGGATGTCCTTTGAACCTGAACGGATGGATTGTAGGCACACCTTCTAATGTCAGTAAGTAAGCATGCCTTTGGGTAGTGTGGTTTACATGCCCCAAGTGAAACACCAAATCCAGCACCCACATATACCAGCACCAAAGAGTTCGGGTGGTTTGTAGACACCCCTTTACTGTATGTATTTATATACCATATTTTACCATCACATCCAATCACCAGGTCTCCTTGGATGATGGACGCAACCTCTTAGGAATGCCACGGCCACCAAGGCCCTCAAAAATGCATTTGCTTGGGAATGCTTGGGCTGTCAGTCTGCACCCCGTTTCTGGTGCTTGGTCCGGCCATGCGGTCCGGCCATGCTTGGTCCGGCCGATGCCCCTCGCCTTCGGCTGCAACCGGGTGATGCCCATCGCACCCAACTCCGCGGCACGGAGGAGCTCCTCGAGGCCGAACCCCAGCCAGGTGGGAAGGCCTTCCCTGGATGGTCCAAAAACACCAGGGGTGAGATGAGTCAGGCTTGAGGTGTTTTTTCTTGAAAGAACCCGAAAACTTGGGCGGTGCTGGCACTGGGCAAGTAGTTGAGTGGGAAAAACATTGGAAGTTGCAAGTCAAATAGTTAATTACTGTTTCTACTGGGGAATCCGTTGAATTACGTACAGTAACGTGAATCTGTTTCTTGATGAGATGGAGATCCTTCACAATCACAGGTTCGCTTTTGTATGCTTTTGTTGCCTTCATTTGAGTGGTCATGTCGCTATCATGTTCCCAGTTGACACTGTTGCTGCAAGTAGCTTGGGGCCAAAACAACCACCCATGCATTAAACAGGACCCATCGCTTGGGTTCGAAAGCTCCAGGCCCACATATTGTTCAGGGCGGATGGATCTAAGTCACATTTTGCATGCCCTGCAGGTTTTGTATCGTTGCACGTGCTGAGGCCCTATTGTTCTCACTTCGTCTCGTTCCAGTGTGCACTCAGCTAAGGGTAGCCACTACTGTAGCCACTGCATGCCGCCCACATAGCATGAAACAAGGCCAAAAATAAAACCTTTCTGGGACGAATCCAAGTCAAAATGCCCAACCTCCAACCTCTTTGTGTCTCAACACTTTTGCACCCCTCTGGCACGTGCTCCAATTTCCTGGTGCGCAGTTTAATTGGGAGCCGTCGAACTGGAGGTCTCCCTGCTGGAATACACACCCAAGCGGAATTAGGATGACGTTGGAGGTGGGCACCAGCGGCTCGCGAATTCTCCTGTGCTTTACAGCTCAGAGAATTCCTTGAAGAGGTTGCTGGAAGTTGTTTCAATTACAGATATCCGCCGACCCCGGCCTAGCTGATTCCTAGGCGGGGCGGCGCCTGGTGGCCTCCAGACAGCCCTGTCTCTTTCCGTGCACGGGTTGAACGGTTGAATGTTGGAGGCCAGTCCTCGCCCAAGCGCCGGGGATTCCCGATGAGGAGTTGGCTGCCAAAGAGCTTCGGCACCTGCGAAGGGGGGCGGAGCTCATGGCCCAGGTGTCGTCTTCGTTGAGTTGAGCGTGCGTTTTTTTTTTTGCATGGTTGGAGGAGACATGGATCGGTGATTTTGGGAGTGAATAACTCATGGGTTGAGCTTGGCCCAGGGTAGACTGATGACCCAGGGTGATAACTAGAGGGGTGGCACTAGAGGGGTGGGATCATTGGGTTGAAGCAAAACCAACAATCTACAGCATGAAATCATGGGTTATCACGGTCATCATTGAGTCATCATCCCAAAAGAAGACGCCACGGGCGTCCCGGTCGATGTTCCCTTCCAATTGGCTGGACCCAGCCACCGGGGCCTTCCAGGTCGGCAGTTCTTTCAGATGTTCCGCAGGAACCGATCCGTGGCATTTGGACCCCCCCCCAGTCTTTTCAAGCGAAGAAAAGGAACTTTCCAACATAACTATTTATCTATCGTCATTTCTGGCACATCTTAGAGTCAGATAGATAGCTGCTAGATCTTCATGACTCATCCCGCATGACTCGTCCACTTTGCTCGATGAACATCGACCCCGTGGAACGAGTCCGGGCTTCGCTTCACCTCCAACGTCGAGGGAGACGAAGGTCCGTGGATCTTCAGGGATCCATGATCCATGACTTGGCAGATCTATGGCTTGGCAATGGGAGAGTTGGATTGAGTTTGTTCCAAAGACTATTTGATGATCCCAAATCCCATGGTGTTAATATGTCTTAATTAATTGGATCATTGGTCTTCCATTGTTCTCTCCGACTCCGACTCCTCCGAACCTGTGCACCGGTGGTGGTTTCCCACCCGACTGGTCCCATCCGGTGCGGAAGAGAAAGGCCACTGCCCAAGATCATCCACCCCGGACATGGAACTGCTACTTGCATATCTATATATATACTGGCATGAGGAGATGTAAATGGGGTGATTGCATATGTGCAACCTAATTCATCCTCTTTCTTTCCAAATCAAAAGAAAGGTCGTCCCGCGGACTTTAGGCGCCTGTTGTAACACCGCGCGGCTCAACTCCCGCAGCAAGGTGTCCGCAAACTCTTCCGTGCCGTTGGACAAGAAGCGCTCTCGAACCTGGGCACTGTCGTTGGAAAAAGTCCCATCGCCTAGGCACGATCAGGAATAGACCATGTGTAGCCGAGAAAGGCCAGGCCCCGGGGTGGTAAGGGAAATCAATGTAGACATATAGATGATATTCCATCATTATTCCATACATGGATGGGGTAATCCAGCTGTCATGTGGAATCTTCAGTAGATCAACACATCTCCAAAGAGACATTCGTTCGGTTCAAGGAGCCTGCCAATTTTCAAGCACATGCGAGGTTTTGGTATGGCCGACTGGCAGTGATGTCAAGCAAGTTCTCGGCACACCGTCAAGCTCAATTCGTGGCGAGATGATGGATCCCGCTGCCCAACTAGGAAGCCTGAGAAATGGCAGCCCAGTGCCTCTGCTTAGACTTTGTCGTTTTGGAACACGGCATCTTCATTCATTTGTAGATCAATATTGCTGGATGCGCCAATCCAAGACCTGAAAACTCCTTGCTAACTCGTGACGGCTGAGTAATTCCAACTTCTTGTGATCCAACCCCTGATCACCCGCAGAATGGGGGCACATCACGAACTTCAGGAAATTCAGGGTGGTTTTCTGTCAATGAGCCAACTTCTGCGGCCCCAAACGCTTGGTGATTCCTTTCCGAGGAAGGCAACCGGTTGTCCACGAGGAGTCAACAATCTCTTCCCATACTCGTTGGTACATGTCCCAGGCGCAACCCAGAACCCAGATGCACCTACAGTATCGCTGCAAGAATTCAACAGTTGATCTTTAAAGCCCGGAGCAAACCAGCGAGCTTAATGCTCCGATGGTTCTTGACATGGACATGTATCTCTGATCAGAGAAGACGTATGTACAGTTCTCATTGCGCGTCCAGAGGCACAAAGGCACTCTGCTGAGCGGTGCAGCAGGGCTCTCGTGGCTTCATGCTTCATTGCCAGCCTCCCCTAAGGCCTCTGCCTTTGAGCTGACCACGAAGCGTGGGCGATGCACCTCCTGTTTGTGGTTCAATGATGTTGAATGGTGTACTGTACCCTGTTGCTAGATGTGAGCATCGAGCCATGATTGGAACTGCCTTCAGCATCGAGTCGGATATCGAACCACTGGCAGGCAGTTGCACTTAAAGTCAAAACACTTCCCCACACGTGCATTCCACTGGGTAAGTGGTCAGTGCAGAACCGATTCTACTAGATTCCTGCAGAACCGAGTTGCCTCATGTGGCAGGGTTTCTTGCAACACAAATCCGGAACAAATACTGTTTTAAAGTGCTTTGCATATGACCCACCAAATAGACCACCTAACGCGTGGAGAAATTAGAAAATCATGGATGGGTGCTGGAAGCCTGTACTGTATATGATCCCAGGTCGGTCTCTTCCGTCACCGATTTTCATGATATGAAATCCAAGGTCGGTCTCTTCCGTCAGAGTCGAATCCATCTCAAATCCGCTTGGTCGTGCAGACTTTGTTCATGTCATGTGGTTTCTAATCTTCTCAGGCACCAAAATGTCCGACATGAAAAAGCATACGGGGTTGAAGGGTTGAACTCCGGAGAGACATGTTCAAATCACCTTTTAGGTGATCCTGGAACCGTAGAGATCAAAAAGCGCAAAAAAGTTCGCGCAGGGCTCGCGCACTCTGAGAAGCTCGACTACCAGAGGCCCAAAATGTGGGGTCGTTCAACCTGGAGCCCTATCCTCCATTGCTATTAGGTTGGAGGCCATTGCTATCGGGTTGGAGGCCATTGCTATTAGGTTAAACGAAAGACCTGGAAGAGGTAGAATAGGTCTTCCGATTCTTGAGACATCAAGACCTCGCCATTCGTTCGGTCGCTCTAGGTCGCGAAGTTTCCATGTGAAGTTGGGCAAGATCAATTCCCAATCACTTCAGGAAAGTGTCCATGTTCATCCATGTTCAAATACCTTCGAAGACCAATCTGATTGGGCGCCCGATATTCGGTCCTCTCGCCGAAACCACTCCAAGGTGCCACAATCCCTGTAGTTCCTCCCCTTTTCGGTGGAGAAATGCTATAATTTAATTGCTGTCATTGAAAGGCGGCAGTCAGCCAGTCTGACAGCTCTGCTGACATTTGACAGTTCAAAAAGTTGAGTCAACCAGCTTTCGCAGTCTGGTGAATTGGGGCCCGTTGAAACTTGTGCAACATCGCATTCAGCCGGGAAGAGAAGACCTCCAGGAGACCAGTTTCAAGATTGTCCCATAGTTCTTTTGTGCTCGTGGGCAGACCCGGACAGTCCGCAAGGACAACAACCAGTGAACGCAATGAAGGTGGTAAAGCAACAAACCATCTCCTTTCTGTGTTGACTTGATGTTGCTCTTCTTTTGTGGCTCTTCCCTGGCTCACCTTCGGCAAGTTGAAAGACTGCTGTCCATCGGCACCCTGGAAGTAATCAAGTGTTTGTCATCTAGATCTCTGGCTGCCGGTCTGTCATTCTTTGAGTGGAAAGGAGCTCATGAACTCATGAACTTCCATGACCAAAACATGTCTAAAAATATGTCTGACTCCCGCAATTTTCCTGGAAAATAACGGTTACACGTTCTCCACAATGGTTGAGTGGAAGGTCGACCCATCCGCAAAAAGGCTTGGGCCGCTGGTCCACTTTTCGTCAGATTTCCAGGGAGCATCTCCAATGGTGGAGCTCAAGGGGGGTGTGCCATGACACGATGCGCACGGAACGCGATCATCCCGAGTTTGCCGCTCCGAGCAACCCGTGTCTCTGCGCCTCATCAGTCCAGAAGAGGACGTGTGTGTCACGAGACTCTTCTGGCCTTTGACTGAGAAGCATAGCTGCTGGCACACTTTCCCTTGTGATCTCTCTTTTGGGGATCTGCCCCGAACTTCATCAGCAGCATGATCATCTCCCAGTTGCCTTCTCGAGCTGCTTCGTGCAAAGGATAGGAGCGTTTGAAGCCGAAGCAAGAACACTTGGGAGCATTCAAGTCATCGCCTAGGCTCGATCCCGAGACTCCCGATCGCCCAAATGAAACCAATGTGTGTATATACAAATCCGGGACTTCGAACCCGTGAAGAACCACGGACTGGCCCTTCCGGTCTTGGCGGCCGGGCCGGGCTCCATGTTCCGAATTGGCGAGCCCATCCCTGGGAGGTCTCCCCCAGGGTACGTGTGATTCGAACCACCAAGGGGGTTTGAAGAGAAGACCGTGGTTTCGAGGTGCTGACGTATGATCTGCATATCATCCGTAGCTTCTCCAAAAATGGTCTCTCACTAGGTATATCATGGTGATCCTTGCCTAATGGATTCCCAAGTGGAGGAGATCAACAAATGACATATGCAGGACCATCTGGACAGCGAGAATCACCTGGCTTTCATGTACACTATGCAGACGCATCAAGCCAGGAGGACGCTTGCACAAATAGTCCCACCTTAAGATCCATCGCCAAGGTCACTGAACTGGTGCGACTCTAGGAAATGTTTCGTCTTCTGCCAATCTTGCTCCTGATCCCCCCCAAACCCAGCGCCAGCATGGTTGGGACGCGCGGGATGGATGGAGGCCAACATCGAGGTTTGTTTGGGACCGGGACCGAAACACCGGATCTTGGAGGATGCCGTTACAGTAATACAGAATTGGTTCTTAGACATTGAGACACTTCAGTGATGATAGACCTGTTTCAGGATGGACCACAGATCCGAAGGCATTCCAATCTCCAATCTCCGGGGACCTGATTCGCTTCTCTATCAAACATGGAAGAAACGGCGAAGCTATGCTAAATGCTCAAATGCATCAGCCATCCGACTTGCCGTGAGGCACCCTGGTGGCCCAAGTGTAATGTAGACTCTTGAATTAAACAACAACGCATTTTGACTGAACAACCTCTTCATATGCGGGGTTGAAATATGATCAAGAGTCTACATTAGGAGCCCTCAACCCGGGAGAGCAGCTCTCCACTTTTATACTCTTCAAGCTTTTGCTCTGGAAAGTCCGTCTCGACAAATGCCCAGCCCAAAACACTTGCATGGGCCGGATAGACCTGGCGACCGCCATGGCAGGTTCCGTCCATGAAAAATGACTCCAGACCGGATGGATTTCTACGGGATGCCTTCGACCGGGAAGACTCCGCGTTTTTCGGCGACCAACTTGGCCTGATCGGTGGATCGATGGAAGAAAACGAAAAGCTATTGTCGGTGGCTGAAGCTTGAAGACTGAAAACTCAATGCTTTGAACAACCCACGACCGAGGATCTCAGAGGGTTTATGGCTCTGGGACCCCAAGTCTGTTTCTCGGCATGTTTCTCGGCACCTGATGTGGTTTAGATGGGGGTGGGTGTACCGTCAGTTATAACCGCCATATCCGCGAAGCTGAAGATGGCCCGGTTGTTGCACCGCGTTCGGTCCTTTGCAAGGCCTTTTTCACGAAACTTCGACTTCAGCGAAAAGACATGCGTTCGACTTGGGCCGAATATGATCGAATAGCTATAGAATAGCGACTACCCAGGACACCGGTGGCACCGCGGTAGACAGTAGGCGGCAAATCTTCATGAAAGTCTGCATGTAACTGTATGTCCATGAATCCATTGGGAAACCCCCAAAAATACTACATAACTTACATAACCCCTTCTTGTATCTCCAATGCGTCACCTTGAAAACCAATCTTACCAAGCTGCCAGCTGCACCTTCTGCTTCAGCTCCTGGCACTGTTGAACATCGTTGTCGTGTGACGTGCGGTTTCACTACTCCCTCGATTAGGGTTAAAGGTCACAAACCAGGACCAAACCGGAAAACATACACACTCAAACTTCGCCCTGGGTTCCCAGGTTGGGTGCCCACTGCGACAGTCCGAACAAGGCTGCCACATTTCAGACTTGAGAATTGCAGGTCCCAGTGCAAGTGCATACAGTAACCTGATGCAACATGCAGGAGTACCAGCCAGCCCGGTTGCAAATGGATGGATTTGAGATTGAAGGCACCATCAAAAACCGTTTACACTCCTGGACGAATCTTTAGGTGTCAGGTCCTCTTGGCGTGTTTGTGTAGATAAGGGCAAAGGCATAAAGTCAAAACAAACAAAAGGATATGGGCTGAAGATGGAAAACCCAATTGACTGGCATAAAAACGAAACGAAGAATTCGACTGAGGAATGCAACCTGGCACGGTTTTGACCACGGTCTTGTTTGGGATAGAAGATGAGAGTACACTCAGATCGGATTCTGCAGGCCTTCTGCAGCCTCCAAACATCTCCAAACACACTTCTACAGTCCCTAGGGATCCAGGTGCCAGGAGGGTCCAGTCGTACCGAACCTGAGGTTCCGTACGACTGGATCTCTAGGGAGTAAGGACCCCCCAGTCTGAACACGTGGATGTCGTGGTTGACCGAGTCTGGTCACGTCCGACGGAACCACAACTGGACGAAGGTGTCCAATGGAGATCCATGAGTAGGGTAGTCCACTTTGATGGAAGGCGCTGGATATATAATATATTATACCAGGACCCTCCAAGGGGTGCCCTGTCTGGAAGCCTGTAGGTAGTGTGGGGTAGTTCATTGACCCCGACAGGAGTGCAGAGGCATGAGGCATCACAGCCAAAGAAGACCGAACGTGAAAACCAGACACCAATCGACCTACTAGGGCTCGGCAAGCGCCTCGCGGCGCATATGAAGAGGCCCCAAAAGTGTTGGATCCGCAATAGTGCTGAAATGTGCTGAAACTGTTTGAGGTCTATGCTGGACCATTTTTGTGGGGCCGTCCACTGAAACAATGTCCGGACTAATGGTCTGGGCATGCATTCATGGAGTATCTGGGGGTTGGGAACCAGGGGTGTCCACGAAAACCACCCACGACTCCAAATGGTATCAATTCTCCAAACGCCACACCCGGCGCTCGCCCAAACGTCGCTGTCTCGATTGGGGCCGCCGATGTGCGCCTTAGCCTTCTGCCTCCTCAGCTCCTCCGCTCTGGCTTTTTGGCGTTGCAGCGCTTGGCGGATCTGCTCAGGTGTACTCTGTACATAGTCGTCCGCGCACATCAATCTGCAGCGCCCGCCCACCTGGACCGCAACTTCTGGGCACCGTGTTGTTCGGGTTCATCGAAGCCCAGGTAGTTCATCCCAAAAGCAATGTACTGATACCCTAGAAGTCCAAAGAACAATAATAACAATAAGTTCCATCTTAGATTCCCTTTCAAGAATCCCAAAAGATCTAAAAGCGTTGCTTCTTCTCAACATCGTCTTGGACTCGCGGGAGAAGTCCATCGTCTTGGGCCCTTCTAGGGTCTTCGGAGGGTTGAAACCCAACACCACAACCGCCCCATGGCTGAAGATGGCCTCCAAAACCTTCTTGTGGGTGGCCTCCATGGTTGAACGACTCGTACACATCGCAAGATTCTTGACAAAGTCATGGCCTCTTCAAACCTCCCGGAGTAAGGTGACTTCAATAAAGTTTGAAATGGAGATCAAAATCATACCAGGACGTTAAGGCCAAGGGGTGTCCATGAACCACCCAACTTGTGGGGGTCCTGGTAGAGAAACACCCCGTGGTGGTCTTCATGCTGGCTCCCGTCCGGACGGCTGATTCCCGCTTCCGCCCCACGGCGTTTCCCCCCGGCCTGCTCAAAGGCGAAGTGGGTCATGGGGAGGGCGGCGTGAAGGTCAGTACCGGCACCACCGTTTCGGTGAGCCGACTTGGCTTAAAACACAAAACGCCTGCAGAACATGTTCGATTCATACAGCATGGCGCAGTCGATCAAGTGACAGCGGCGCGCGACTCGGAAGACACGGCGTGGCATTGCCGGCATGACCACCAAAAAGACCGCCGAAATGGGGTCGAACACTCAAACACCCAGCTCTGCGGAGATTGAAAACCTAGAGATTGCGGGAATCGGAGGTGTTTTCCTGCCTGTTGAATGATTGGCGCGATCCTTTCTCTTGGAAAGGGTCTCCACGCTGAAACAACCGTCGTCACTGGGCGCATCTGGCCAAGTCATGAATCCACTCCTGACAAACGCTACAGTCAAACGCTAGCAATTTGGTGAAGAAACTCTCTGCAGCCCTCTGAATAAATACAAAAAGATTGGTTCTGCGCCTTGACACCCACCCCAAAGGTGAATCCTGTGAGTGGGCGCATGGCAGCTCAGACTCTCCACTACACAGGTCTCCAAACCTCGCAATCCATCAGATCCACGTCCAGATCTGTACCCCCCTTCACCTCACCTCCAGCCAAGGACTCCCTCCAGCCAAGGCGCGGTGAAGTCCTTCACGGACCAACCGCGCCAGCCGAAGACGAGCTTCCCCAACATCAGCCGCGCCTGGTCTTCCCCAACAGCGCGGACCCGCACGGACCCGCGCTTAAGAGGATGGAGGGTGGGAGCCCGATGCTTGAGCTCAAAATGGAACTCACGGGTGGTTAGCAGATCATCTACTACAGTATACAGTATATACGTATGATGTTATTTGGCCACAGGCATCTTTGCCAGAGTGAGACTCGTGGCCATTGGCCCTACCTTGTTGAATTGAAAGGCGAAAAGACCTGGGATGGTAAAATGAGGCATGTACAAAGCTCACAACGATATATATATATATATATAAATATATAAATATAGATAGCATTCCAAGGAAACAGAAGAGTCATCAATCACAAGCACCAGTATAACTTTGCAAACAGCAACTTGTTCGCAAAGAGTGAAATAGAAAGAAAGGACATACACATGAAAGGAATAATGAAAAGTATATTAAAAGGAATATACAAAGGGACATCATATACGTCAAAGGCCTTGGGCTCTTCACACAGTGTTTTCACAAAGAGGAGCTTGTTCACAAAGAGAGAAGACACTGGAATAACACGGCGTAACCGCGCTTCGTCTTTTAATGGATGTGCATATAATAATGTTCATGCATATTCTGAAACTCTATCGTTGGCCGATCTTCACGCAAACAGCTTGCCACATCCATTGGCAGTGGACTCACCTCAGGTCCTCTCAGAGAACTTCCACTGAACCAACGATACCCCTTGGCCGAAGGACCGAGGACCACGGCCGCTTGGCTACGTGAGGGGGCGCCACCGGTAGACCGGTGTCTATAGAGTCTAGATGTTGAAGGGTTTGTTTTTTATTAGTTTTGTTGTTCATAATGAGTTCTCGTATTGTTTGTGCAGGTCGTCTATGGATGGCAATTTGATGGAACATAACGGACAATGTGCAATGAAAGTTCCTTCTCAGCTGTCCACCCAGATCCAGAGAAAAGTTTTCGAGGAACAGACTTGACTCCGGAGCCAACATGCATGGAATTGCTGGAATAAGCTCTGGAGACCAATAGGACGACAGAGATGCGACCGGGAGAGGATATCAAATTTTGCTATGAAGGAGAGGTTCATGACAACCATTTGGACATCCATGATTGAAATGTCTTGGAAAGGCAAAGCAAACAATAAAGGACAGAGAAAGAGAAACAAAACAAATGCCTTCCCAACACTGGTCCTGTAAAGTCCTTTTTTGTGTACTCTGCAAAATGCATGGATCCTGTTTGGTTATTCCTTTTCGAGCCACCTGAGAGCTAATCTTTTAGATGCGGTTTTCTCTAGAAAGTGGAGGGGTGCACCCTCGCCTTTTTTGTTCCAAAAATAATGTCCACTAAATTCACTATTTCACCCCCCTTCTCTCTTTTCTAGACTTCCTGCTTAGGAAACTTTTGATTTTGGGTCCCTCAATTTGTGCTTGTCTTAAGACACCCCATTCTGGGAGGTAAATACACAGGGATAAATTGGGGACATCCGACTTTCTCAAGTCGAGCCAGCTTCAAAAACCGTAACGTCGGGAACCCACCAAACGCGGAACCCACCGCGCTGCCGGTTGAAGTCGTCTCGCGACCCACCCTTTTTTGACCGTGAGCAACCCTGAGCTCGCCTGGTGCACGTCCAAGGGCAAGGTCAGTCTCAGTAACATCCTCAAATAGCAAACCGCTCGCAAGAACCCTCGCGAACCGCGAAGACGGCCATCAAGCGCGAAAAATTTTGCCCTCCAGCATTGAAAAAAGAAACACCTGGACCTGGACCGTCCACTCCCACGCCCTGGACATGTCCCAGCAGTTCCAGCAGTTATCTTGTAAGACATGTGACATGTTGTGTTTTTGTCGATGTGGACAGTCGACGATAGGACAGTCTTATTCATCCGGTTCCTGGAAGACGGCTGTGAAGTCTGTGGAACATCCTATGAACATCGATGAAAATCGATGGAGATCGCGTGAAAGTCATGTCATGATTTTGGGATCGCAAGACACACCTCGACCTCTTCAGCGCCTGTGGCTCCGTGGAAAGCCTCCCATGTTCAACCGTGTTCCATGTCGCCTGATCAAATCATAGCTGAATGTACCACGCGAGAATCACCACACCAAGCAGAGGGGCCTCCCAACCCGTCAGTCTGATCACTCCGCCAGCTGAAACGTGCCTGTCCGTGCCTCACCGTGCCTCACCCATGCTCCAGAAACGATGCTCTCCGTGCTCTCCGAGGGGCTCCAAGGCTTGAAGCTCTTCATCTCTGTCTGATCTCCATGATCCCGTCCCCGTGAAGCTCCTGAGGGCGGGTGACAGCAGTCGTCCGCACCCGACGAGAGGGGGAAGCTGTGTTGATTATTGTGGGAGCAGCACCTGGAGACAAAGGCCGGTCGTCGTTCTGTTCAGCCGGATCGGCCCGGGTGTTCGCGGGCCGAGGTGTGCCCGAACACGGCATGCCGAGTGTTCGGCATGCCGAACACGCCGAGAAGTGAAACGTGTCTTGTATGGAATAGTTACGTATACATTTGGCCAACCAACGGGTGCCCTGGAGTAGGAGACCTGTTGACGTAGGGTAGGGTAGAACGCCAGGACACCCCGGTCCAGGATCACGGCTTCCTTTGGGCCAATGGGTGTGGAACTCTATGTGGAACTCTTCAACGCCTTCAGTCCGGATGGTCTGGGATTTTTCATGGCTCACGGCTCCTGGAGGGGGTCTAGAGGTGAGAAGGCCGCAGCTATCCCTGCAGGGAGTCCAACTTATGACTTGTGAGTGTCACAAGTCTTGTCCAGGGCCCTACGAGACACTATATAACGGTGTCACGGCGTTACAGCTCCATCCATTCCCCTTCACATGGGCAACGAACCAAAATGCCAGGGGCGCCCGGCACCATCAAAAGGCGGGAGTGTTCTACCTCATGACTCCTCACACCTTTTTCCTTCGAACCTAGCAGGGGTTCCAAGGGAAAAGCGTCCAACACGTACCGATACCACGTCACGAGGCTTCCATTCGTTTCCCGGCCCGAAACACCGCCCCTCATCCACCGGACGCCGGATTGGGCGTCATCCGCGGTCGAGGCGCAGCGTCATCACGCAACAGATGCGCCGCAAGAGCAGCTCACGGATCACCACGGGGGTCCGATCTTGGAAGTCCTGGCGCTCCGATTCACGAGTTGGCGGGCGCGCGTGGTCGGCGTGCGTGCGTGCCAGGCGCGTGCCAGGATTCACTTGGGTTGAACTCCAAAAAGACTGGCCTAATGCCAGAGGTCTCTGTGTGTGTGTTGTGTGCTATACTACTATATATAATAGTAGGGTCCCTATTCAGAGCTCTCAACCTCTCTTGGTAACCTAGTTGGAAAGCAAGGTCTATCAGCTGAAATTTGAAACCACTGATGGTCCATCTACAGGTGTACTCAGCAAGTATTGACTCGGAATGGGTCATTATGCCCAGGACATGGCAACACGCCATGTAAGTGTTGGAGCCACACCCGACATTGAGTCTGGATTGAAGAGAATCAGTTTTCTGTTGCAACGAGTGTTTGAAGCCACGGGCGAAATATGAATTATAGTTTAGAGTCCTCTCTTTGTTTTGAAACAAGATAAGGGTGGTGAGCACCACATCCTTAGAACCGCAACAATGTGACCACACTCTTTGGGGAGTTTTTCCGAACAGCTGATGCCGTCAACTCGTCCTCTGCCGTGGGATCCGTCACACAGCGCGGCTCGCCTGAGATCCGAGGCATTCGGCGTCTCAGGCAAGACCGCTCCCGGGGTACATCCATTTGCCGTTGACCCATGTTTACACCATGAACATGACCGTGATGGATCCTGATGGTAGGTCACTTCATTCCTACGAATTCCATCCATGGATCGCTCTCATACGTTCGCACCTTGCTTTTTTTCCGGGTCACCTGGCACGGTTTCACGATGGCAGGAACGAGTCTGCCGTCTTTTGCCTGGTCTAAAGAGGAGCTCGGAAGTCCGGGTGGTGAAAGACATTGGAAGGGAGTCGAGGAGTCGAGGACCGCCCTGTAAAAGGGGACCTCCTAGCTGTTTCGCCCCACCGAAACAGCAGGTCCAATGTACGACCCTCCCCAGTACCTTAGAAAAGGGGACCTCCGGTACCAAAGAAATCCAGTACCGGTGCCATCCTGTGCCATCCTGTGCCATCCTGTGCCCATGGTCCAAGTTACCACCTCAAAGGTCCTTAATAACAGTTCATGTGTACTATTAACAATTAATGTATACCCTAGAAGTCCAAAGACAATATGTTGACCGACTGAAGTAAAGGAAAATTCCTTTTCCGGCCACCTAATGACCATTCTTTGTATATAGTCTTTGACTCCCAGGCTGTACATAGTCACCAAATCTAAATACATCTAAGATAATTACCATTGGTTCTGACAGTGATCAATACAGCCCCCTTTATAGCGAGGACTCATCTGAACCGAGGACTCATCCGGACGTCTTCCGTCTGCCGAGGAGCAGAAGCGCAGATCCGCCAGGGCCACATTGGGCTCGGCATTATTCTCCTTGGGCGGGTTGAAGGCAGATCACCCCATGACACAACAAAGAGAGGTTTGGGTTTGACAGGTTTGGACCAAACCATTAGGAGGTTTGGTAAAATCCGGAAGAATAAGACGGGGGGTTGAAACACCTCGGGACTTTCCAGCTCCTGTGACAACAATGTGACAACATGATATCCTCACAAGTCCGAAGACATCCAAAGACTATCTTTTGCCCCGAAGTAAAGGAAGTTCCGTTTCTCGATTCTTTTTGGATCACCTCAATGACCCATTTCTCAGGATTCACAGAGTCTTGGGCCAGTCGCCTGTTTGGCCGTTCCGGTTTCGGCTTCACCGAACCCCCTGAAACTCGACGCGCCCCAGCCAAACCGCCTCCACCGAACCTGCCGCCGGCGTGTCGACGCGCGCGATACGGCGCCGTGTCTGTGTCCTCTGCATCGAGCGCATTGGCTAAATGCTGCATGTGACTCTCCTGCCGCTGTGTGCCGCTCTTCAGCACACTCGACCTCACCAAGGTCGGAGAGCACTCGCTCATCTGGAGCACAGCAGATTCGTCGATACAGGGTCGACAGCTCTTCGAAGGACTGTCTTTCGGCATATCCCCACAAGTTCTCTCTCCATATATTGACTTCATGAAATTACGAAACTATATAGTTACCTATTATGGTTCTTCCACCAGGTGTCCTCTTCGAGTTGGAAACAAGCTGGCGGACCCAATTATATAATTGGACAGCGCCTCAAGGCTACACATGGCTACACCTGCACTGGCGGACGAGGGTTCCTCCTTTCCTCCCTGGGCTGGACATGGCTGGAGCATGGTCCAAGCCCAGTGCCGTGCCCTCCAAGCACAGACCATTAACGACACAGTTCAAGGACTGAGGACGTGGGGACTGGAGTGAGATCTATACCCTACACCTCCAGTCGTACCTCCTCAGGTTCGGTATGACCGGACCCGCCTGGCACCCACCCACCCCAGTCCCCACCTTCGAAACGGTTCGGTACGACTGGAGGCTGGGATAGTATCTTTGAACCTATCTTTGAATATCGGTGATCCATGAGTTACATTGACACGTCTTGATACTCCCTTCGTTTTGGAAAGTGTTCGACGATGAAAGATGGGAAACTCAAGATCGGTTGGGTGAAATCGCTTCGGACCTGTTGCCACTACTGCAGGGTGCTTTGGTTCCATGCAAGTAGAACGTGAGTGACCCCTGTTTGGAAAGATCTAACATTTGTGGCCGTCTAAGGTTCCAAACGGATCTCATATTGAAAAATGCACCGCAACAAAAAAAGGAAGAATTGAACCACATACATCAGTCTTCACCGAACACGCAAAACCATTCCCTGTTCTTTCCACCACATCGCCGGTCGTCGCTGCCGACAAAAATCGCTGCCCAGATGCAGTTCCAAGACCCACAGCACCACCTGGTGCAGCTATCTGCGGCGAAATCAAACCCCCAAACAGGTCTACCAGAGTCTACCAAGCAGTTCCATGGAGTTTCGGTGCCGAAACCGATTTCGGAGAGGGTGCCACGATGTCATCTCCGCCCCCGGATGGGACGAAAAACACTCCGATCGAAATTCGGGTCCAGCTGGTCCAGCTGTCCGAGCCGATCGCTTTGCCTCCGAGCCGATCGATCTCGGCTCAAGGTCGGGGACTCCTGGTGCCCACCCCCGGAGCTCTTAGCTGGTCCAGACATGGAATGGAATGCCCCAACTCCAAAGACCACCCCCAAAGCGGGACCGTGGATCACTGGGCCGAGAAGAGGCGCTTTGGGGTGGTTTGGGGCTTGTTCCATGTAGGCAGAGATTCCATTACATTCCAGAGGGGGTTTGGGTACAGAAACACTCCAAGGCCATGCAAACCTTTACCACATCCTCAATTCAGTCATGTCCCAAGTGTTTTGAGAACTGGGAGATCTTGGAGGATCATGGTGGTGCTGCACTTGTTCCTTCAGAAAGCATGCCTGAACTCTTCGGCTTGCGCAAGGCTTCCCAGCGCAAGGCTTCCGAATTCTCGGCAGAAAAAACGACTAAGTCCATGCAACAACATGTGCCCATGCGAAAACAAGGCCACCGAATGGCCACCCAATTCCGCGCCTCCGAATTGCCGCCGAAGAAGGCAGTTCTCTCCCCAATCCCCACACTGCAGATTGGCGATCCCTTCTTTCCAGTCTGGAAGATTCACCAAGTAGATATTCCATGAACAGGTGACCCCTGTCGTTCTTTTTGTCACAAATAAAGACAACACCGAACAGATTGCTCCAAGTCCTCTCCTTTGGTCACAAGAGGTCGTTAACGGCCCCGAAACCGATGGTTCTCCGTGTTCTCCGCCTCGGAGACCAAGGCGGTTTCGATGTGGAGGCCCAAGGGCTGTACTTTGAGCTCAAAGCGCCTCACCTGCCAGTCGACAGCAGTCATCAGCGGGTGGTCTCCGTCTGTGGATGTTTCCGGTGGAGAAGGGTGGGGCGATGGTCGAGGGTGAGATGGTGGCTCCAAACAGGTGTGAGACGTGTTTTGGACATTATCACGGACACTCACTTGAGGACTCCAGGACTCCCCAAAAAAAGCCTGGATCAAATACCGAGACAACATTGACCTACATGGACACCAGAAACCACTCCAATGATCTCTAACGTTGGTAACATGGAGTGTTTGGGATATCCGATGTCCTGAGACACGGAGATACAAAGCTGTGACGGAGATGCCCATGCAGTGATCACGAAGAGAAACCTTGTTGTGCATGCGTCGAGATTGGTCAATACTGCATAGGTTTGGATGTAGGTGAAAACACCATACCCCTGCATGTGAACATGCCTGCAAAGCTCTCAGAGAAAAAGGATTTTGACCTGGTGGGAGTCTTCGGCCATCCCTACCAGACCATGCCAGCATCATCCAGCATCCATATCAAGTGGTTATTGGATGGAAAATGCATGAAAATACCGAGGGGTCTATCAACCACCTCTTTAGCTGGGTGGTGCTGCTGGAGTCCGTTTCAGCCTCCAGGGTGGTCACTCCCATCCGTTTCAGGCAGTTTCAGGCTCCATACCTCGTAGTGGGCCGATCCATTGCGGCTCGGGCCCGTCGCCGCCTGGCGCGGTCGGCGGGCCCCAAGACCCGCCTCCGGTCCAGCGGGGAGAGTGATGGGTCCGTTGGTCCCACGATGTCCCGGTCACATCGGGGGGATTGACATGAATATATGTTGTTGTAAAATTAGATAGACCTGTATGCCCGAATCCTTGGAGCCTCCATGGCAACTTGCCGCAATAGGTTGTACTTTCAAAACCCTATGTCTTTGAGCCGGATCGGTAGACTGCAGGTCCCCTCCATTTGGATCGGATATGATAAAGTTTGTATAGACAGTATAGAGGGATTTGTTAGATGAGTGTTGTTCTCTTGTTTAGGTAACTCAAAAGGCAACTGAACAATCCACGCGTCTTAAATTCATATAAATGTAATATAATCTAGGAAGCATCCTCACGTGTGTTCTGTAGATGTATGTATTTGGACCATCATTCTAGATCTGATTCTAGTTGCTGTAATTTGTGTTGCAATTTGTTGCAAATATTTGCAACGTGTCTACCTCCTCCCCTGCAACTAATCTTTAGCAGTTTGCTGTGGCAGGTGACCTCACTAAAGGCTAAAGAATCCCAGATCCAACCAACGCACCAAAATGCGCCGAAACAACCTCTCGGCGACACACTTGCTCAGATCGCTCTCTGGCCTGCGGCTCTGTCAGCCTAGGAGCCACTTCTTGATTTTCGGTGATGAGCTTCAACCTGAGCGGAGCGCGGTTGGCGCGTTGTTTGCAGCCGGCCGCGCGCGTTTCCACTCGAGCGGCAAAGTCCCGGACGACCGCGACGTGGACGTTCGGTGTGGAGGGAAATTGGACAACGAGTTCGTGGTCCATGCAGTCGTGGTCCATGCGATTGTTCGCACTCCACGCCAGTTATCGTACTTCAAAATCTTCAAGGGCAACGAAGGACCGCCTGCATGCAGAAATCGAAACCATCTATAGGCCAGCTTCGCGTCCTTCCTGGCGCAACTCCGTCAGAAGCATGCTATGCTTCGGAAGAAGGTCATCCGCTTGGAGGCCTCTCCGTTCCATCCCGAAAGGGTCGTGCCTCCAAAGCCTCCACCCTTGAAAAAGGGTCGTGCCGGTTGGTGGTAGACCCATGGGAAACTGAAGCTGGCCACACATGCAATCTCAAACCCCAGCATGTTGGATGGATGTTGATGCATGTTGTGTACCCGTGGGAAAAGGGATGAATTTGGGGTTTCTTTTCCATCTTTTACGAGACCGCTTTTTGGAGCTCCCCGTCTTTCAGTCCGAAAGGCATGGCTTCCAGATGCAGGATGGCCGGTGGCTCCCCGTCTTCGGACAAAATCTGCAGTGGCCCCGTGAAGGGTCTGAGCACCGAGTGGCACGCTTTGCCTCGGAGTTGAGGTGGAACTCTCGGAGTTGAGGTGGAGCTCTCGGAGTTGAGGTGCTGCTGCTTTGGGGTGATTTAGAAGTATATGTTTCAGACTTATAAGTATATAAGATAGAATAAGTCTGTTTGGGGTGGTGTTTGAGACTCCTGAAACAGCCTTAACAGTGAGATCGACTTACGTCGATGCCCTGAACTTCATGAACAGTCGGACTGGCCAGACTGGATGAGACGAACAGTAGTCAAGAACGCTAGACGAAGCGAGCAAACTCACACATTGCTTACAAACCTCACCCTTGATTCACCCAAACCGGGTCTCTGAACAAGCGATTTGTTGAATCTACGTTCTGTTCCACTTGGGTTACCACCTATCCTGGGTGGTGGACACAGGAAGAACAAACTTTGATGATCCTGGCAAAAACCAGCTGCCCAGCACCTCCTAAGGAGGTATTGCAGGTACTTCAATTGGTAGAACAATCAGCTCAAGTGCAGTCATAAAGCCACTGCTTTAGGAGGTGCTGGTGTCTTTAGTGCCATTAGTGCCTTTAACTTTGGTGCCTTTCAAACTTTAGTGACTGGAAGGCGGAGTCTCGGAGAGCATGTCCATGCTCTCCACCAACTAGTATACATGATGGAAATTCAGCATCTCCTCAAGGTCCAGCTGGATTTGGGGGCTACATCTTCAGCTAGAAGATCTTTGAATCTTTGAGGGTGCCAAGGCTTAAGTGCTTCTGAGATGCTGGATTTTTGGACCAATAATTCTGGCCCCACGCCAGAGAAGACTCCAATCAACCGTGAGCATCGGCTATTGATTACAATCAATATTCTCCAAATTGATACATTTTCAATAGAAAAATCAATTCTAGAATATTGATTTTGCTGAAGAAACAAATCAATAAAAAAACTCTGCAGAAAACAATGAAAAATCAAACCCAGAATCAATAGAAAAATCAAACCCAGAATCAATAGAAAAATCAAACCCAGAATCAATAACCCTGCCCATCCCTGTGATCCTTTTCCATTAGATCGAGTTGGTGAAACCTTGCTTTGAAGGTGCTTGCACAACAAACTCTTTTGCAAAGGCTTTGGGTTGCATTACCCCTCTTCCAAGGGTTGAAAATCCCTTTCCCAAGGGCCCTCTTCCAAGGGTTGAAAGTCCCTTTCTCAAGGGCCCTCTTCCAAGGGTTCAACAAGGATCTCTTTCTCCCAAGCTGAAATTGTCTCTAGTCATCAGAAGATGAAGTAATACTCTGTATTTGGGGGCCATCTTCTTGGAGAGCTTGGTATTTCGAACACCAGGGCTGATAGAAAAAACCAGCTCACTGATTCTGGCTACATAGTTTTCATTTGCAAAGCACCAGCAAGCTTTAGGATTCAAGTGGCAGCTGTTAGCCACAAGGTGTTGGAAGGCATGGAACTTGTAAACAATGTGAAACAAGTACTTCCCTTCTTCAAGGGCCCACTGATTCAGCACACTGTAGGTATCCAGGAACTCTTTTGCAAGAGAGGTGGCTTTGCTGTATTCTTCCTGGGAAAGGAAGACATCAGCTGAGTCAAACAATTCCACCACTGCTTTCATGCTTTCCATGGCCCCCAGCATGCAAGACTCATGCCAGATTTCAGGATCCAATACAGCCTTGCAAACCCTCAAGAATGCAGGAAGAAAGTGTTTAGACTCTCCACCTTTCAAATTCAGAGCTGGGTAAGATGCATGTGGCTGCTTGGTGTCTGCAAACATAGACAGTTTCAAATTTGTGACTCTCACCTGGCTCCCTAGCTCTTGGTAAGCCTTTTGCAAGGCTGTCCACAACATTCCTAGCCTCTCCTGGGCTGGCATTTTCTGCCTCCCTGCACCATCATGCCACACTAAATAGTGTAGGCAGGAGCCCAGGAGATGGCTGTAGATGCCCTTGCACCACAAAATGTGCAGGGCATCCCCCCTCACAAATTTGGTTGTTAAGCCTGGAAGCTGGTGGAATAAAGGGTGCTTGGAACCAGGGTTCTCTGCAGCCTCTTTGTTGCTCACAACTTTAAAGTCCTGCTTGTCTTGCTCAATGTTCTTGAAGTACTTGGAAGGATCATCTGTGCTGGACTTTGCATCGCATTCCATGCAGGGGCTTAGGCTGCCCCAGTGGGCAAGGCCCAACTGATTTGCAAAAAACTCAGCATCCCCTTGGATGCTCCAGAGGACTGCTCTGTAACCAGAGCACAGGGGCTTGCCTTTGCTTGCATAGAAAGGTGAACCCTTTTGCAAAGGCTTGCCATCTGAATCATGGGTTGGATGGAACCCTTTCTCAAGGGCATTGAAGCTCCAACAAATTTCTTTCATAAGTTGGTTCCAGGTCTCTGGGCTGGTGGAACTCTTTGGGTAACAGCTGATGAGGAATTGTGACTCATGTTTGCTGAATTTGGTCATCATTGGGCCCCAGCTGTAGCACATTAAGGAATCTCTGGTGGAGTATTCCACCCCATCTCCATGTAGCCATATTGGAATTGTCATTTTTCTCCAATTGCGAGTGAGCATGGGATGGTTCAAGAGCCGTTCATCCTTGGAGTTTTCAACCCCTGCCCAGAAGCCTTGCACTTTTTCAAGTGGAAAACTTTCACCAAAATTTGGCAGCTGTGCCAAATCTGCAAACATCACATGTGGTAGGAATACTGCTGCATCTTCTTTTTCGGCCTTGAGGCTCTTAGGATCTAGGCAGCTGACCTGGACCTCCATGGGAGGGGATATACAATTTTCTTTCACAAATCTAGCCATGATATCTCTGTGGATGTTTCCCCTGTGCTTCCCATAGTTGCCTGCCTTTGCAATATCTTGTAATTCAGCAGCCTCACACCCATCCAAACATGCTGCTTGGGCTAATGATTGGATAGATACAGCACTGAGCCTTCCATGGGCCCAAAATGACAGCAGAAGATTGGCCAACACACTTTGGGGAGCACTCCCTTTCTCAAAGGTTTGCACTCCCTTTCCCAAGGGTTCAGGGCCTAAAGCTTGTTCCAGCTGCCATCCCCTCAGCCTTTTGGCCATGCAACCCTAAATTGTTCTCCCAAGCATGACTTGAGCCATGCTAGGTGGTACACCAAACAATGAATTGTTTTCCTGAACACAGTGTCCATGGTTGTGAAAGAATGCTACCATGTTTATGTGCAAACACACCTCCAGAGTATAGCCCCTTGAGAAAGGGAAGAGTCCAAACACACCTATACAACCAATTATAAACCACATTTGCACCCACAGACCCCCCAACCCCACTCAGAACACAAAGGCTTTTTTTCTACTGAGGTGTAGGTCTGCTTGCTGCACTCAAAAACCAGGCTGCCTTCTTTGTAAGGCAAGCGCTACAAAAACCAAACTCCAGGCTATCCCTTCTGCAAGGGTCCCTCTTGCAAAGGTCTCTTTCCCTTCTGCAAGGGTTCATTTCCCTTCTGCAAGGGTCCCTTTTGCAAAGGTTCCTTTCCCTTCTGCAAGGGTTTATTTCCCTTCTGCAAGGGCCACTGTGTTATTCATCTACTTGTGCTTTGATGACTTGGAACCGGTTTTCATGCTGATTTGCACCAGTTCCTTGGCCTCATCCTTAGCATCTTTCACAACAGCCACTGCTTCCTTCAGCAAGTCTTTCATCTTGCTGACCTTTGTCTTCTCTGCTTTCAAGAGTGTGTCCTTCACTTGGTTGAAAGACTTTTGCAAAGTCTTCAGCATGTCTTCTTTTTGCTTCAGAGCAGGCTTGGACAAGTAGCCCATGGGCTTCACCTTTTCCAAGGCCTCTTCATAGTTTGCCATGGTATGAGCCAGCAAATCCCTGCTCTTCCTAAGCTTTGTGAGAGCATCAACTCTCTGCTCTTCCTCAGTCATGTCTTCAAGGGGCAAGGGGTCTTTCCCATTGTTGTTGTTGTTGTTGTTGGGATTCTTCCCTTGCCCCTTTCCTTTTCCCTTTCCTTTGGTTTTCCCTTTGGCAAGGGTTGTCCCCTTGCCTGGTCCATGTTCAGACATCAAGGCCAGCAAGTCTTTGTCCAGCAGCTTCTCCCATTCATCCTCTTCATTCCTCTCCTGCTGGAACTCCTGGGCCTGTGTCCATGACCTCTTGTGCTTTCCTGCTAGCTTCCTTGTCCATTGTTGTGTGTCCATATACTCGTACACACCCCATGTGGAAGATTCCCTCCACACAACCCGACCTGACTCTATGTGCTTGTTGAGGTCATCTTCTCCCCATTTTTCAAGGGCTTGCTTTTCAGTGATCCATTCTTCATGTTTGGTCAAAGACTGCTCCATTTGGGTTTGCTTTGCAACATTGCAAAACTTAGGGCTCTCAGCCCTCATCAGGAAAAGGGCGGTTTTGAGGCCCTTGTCCTTCTTGTTGCTGTTCTGGTAGTCCTCCAGGTCTTCTTCATTTCCTTCTTTGTTTAAGTGTTTGTTGTGCCTATTCCAGGCCCTGGTTTTCTCCTCTTGAGACATTTCATTTTGCAATTCCATTGCTGCACTCACTTCATCTTCATGCTCTTCAGCAATGGCTCTCACCTTGTCTTTCAAGGAGAGCTGTCCCAACTTTTCCAAGTTGCTCCTTTTCAGGAGTGACTTCATTGGTTTGAGCTGTCCCAACTTTTCCAAGTTGCTCCTTTTCAGGAGTGACTTCATTGGCTTGTTTTTGGCCTTTGCCTTGGCTTTTGCCTTGGCTGTGACCTTCATCACCTTCATGGCCTTCATGGCCTTCATTGCTTTCCCCTTTGGCAAGGGCATGTTTGGAGGCCCCTGTGCTATACTATCTATCCCTTTTGAACAATAAAATGATTGCAGTACAAACAGTGCTAATATCTATGAACCGGTGATGAAAGGTGATGAACAGAGTGGTGAAAGGTGATGAAAGATGATGAAAGGTGATGAAAGGTGATGAAAGGTGGTGAACAGGGTGATGAAAGGTGATGAAAGGTGATGAAATGTATGTGTTCATCACCTTTCATCACCTTTCATCACCTTTCATCATCTTATATGTTTTCACCTTCTGGTGTATTGATTTGGTATAACCTGTGCCCAGAAATGGGATGGATCCTTTGGTACCACTTGGAAAAAGTAGCCCTTTGGTTAGAGACCCACTGGTGCAGGAACCCTGTGGTAATTAGAGACCCTTAGAGACCCTTAGAGACCCTGTGGTTGGAGACCCTGTGGATGAAGTAATTGGATCACAACCCTTTTACAAGGGCAGTAATGGATGCCCCTGTCCAGCCTGCCTTAAACACATCTTTTTCTGCCAGCCTGCCTTTCCAGGCTCTTGCCCAGGTTTCTATAGCCAGGCTGCTACCACCACACCAACCACAGCAAACAAAACACAGCTTTCTAAACAACATCTTTTTAAAACTATTTCATTTAACACCTTTGGCAGCAGCCTGGCTCCAAAAACATGCAAGGTGAAACCCCTTTCTCAAAGGATTCCCTTTCTCAAAGGATTGCCTTCCCTTTCCCAAAGGTTTTCCCTTCTTCAAGGGCCTTCCCTTTACCAAGGGTGTGCATGCACTTTCCTCACAACTCTGCATGCATTTCCTTCCCCAGAAAAGAAGCCACTGCCTCACTGAAGGACATCCAAGGCCTGTGCCCCATGTTCTCAAACCAGGTGTGTCTCTCCTTTCTGCTCATGATGGGGTAGGTCTCCACTCCCTCAGAGATGGCCTCAGAGCAGATGTCCTGGGCATCATCAAACAGCACTGTAATGTTGGCTGCCTGGCATCTGGCTGCCTTGCCAAGGGGCCCTGTTCTGTCCCTGATGCAGTAGGCATCTTCAAGCTTGGGAAACCATGGTTGCTTCCTGAGTGTCTCCATCACCTCCCTCTCTCTGCTTGAAGCACCATGAGCAAATGGTGATGGAGTAGCCCAGGTTGATCAAGGTTTCCAGAGCCTGGTGGTTGGCCTGTGGAATCTCATAATCATTCACAGAAAGGATGTTGTGAAAATCCACCATGATCTTCTTCTTGGCCATGCCACCTGGCTTGAACTTGCTGCTTCACCTTTCTCAAGGGGTTCCTGCTTCATTGAATCCCCTTTCTCAAGGGTTTCCTGCTGCATTGAACTCCCTTTCTCAAGGGTTTCCTGCTGCATTGAACACCCTTTCTCAAGGGTTTCCTGCTTCATTGAACACCCTTTCTCAAAGGTCTCTGGCTGCTCTTCTTCAGCTTCTATCGGTTTCTCTTTCTCAAGAGCCCCAAGTTTTGCTGCTTTCAGTTTCAGGTGGTTTGGAATGTCTTCTTGCTCTTTGAGCCATTGTTGTCTGTCTTCCTCTTTCTTTTTCCAAACCAAAGTTCCCCTGCCAGTGCTGGAAACACTGCTGGCACAACTGGAAACACTGCTGGCCCTTCTTGGTTTCCTGTTCTTCTTTCCATTTCTGACCAGCCCTGAGCCTTCTGCTTCTTCATGAATGGGCAGGCTCAATTCCCTGTCCCTGTGCCACCCACCATGGCTGGAACTTGAGGAGCTTGGGCTCCTTGAAGAGGACCTCCTTTTCCAAGGAGTATGGTGTGATGAGCTGCTTCTGCTTGGGCTCCTCCACCTCCTGTGGTTGTCCCACTCTTCCTCACTCCAATCCCACCATTCATGGTTTGCCCACCATGACCCCTCAGGCTGGTCCTCCCACCAATCCCATTCCTCATCATGGAGGTGCCTTTCCCAATCTTCTTCTGGTTTTTGCCTTGGTTTCCCCACCCTCCTTTGCTTTCTGGCCTGGCTTGTGGTGCCAGCACCATACACCCTGCCAGCTTTGTTCATGTTATCCCCTTTGGCAAGGGTCAACCTCCACTCCTTCCATGTCCATGATGGCCATGGGTTCTCTCGACCTGCCATCCCCTTTTCCAAAGGCTCCCCCTTTTCAGGGGCAACCCCTTTTCAGGGGAACCACAGATGGCTTCACAAGCCAAAGCAAGACTGCTAACTGTAGCTATGCCCAAGCCCAAAAGCTGCAGAAGGAGACCCATGGTTGGTTTGTATACCCTATGGTTTTGGTGGGGTGTAAAAAAACCCTAACATTAACATGCCAGACCCTGGTTGGTGTGTATGCCCTATATGGTTTTGGTGGGGTTAAGAAAGAACCTAACAAAACCAAACCAAGAACCACCCTCAGGGCAAGAACCAAGAACCACCCACAAAAAGACAAGAAAAGCAAGAACCCAGACCAAGAACCACCTAAAAACATTGAGGCAACACCTAGAAACACAACCAGATCAAACCTATACCTAGAAACATCTAGAAACAAGCAAGCTTGCATGTTTTACACACACACAAAGCACCTTGTTTCAGCCATTTTTTGGCTGTAAAAAATGTTTCAGCCATTCTTTGGCTGTCAAAAACTGATATATACACAGCTGTCCCGTTTGCAATCGATGTTTCCTTTAGCAAAGGATGTTCCCTTTTTCAAAGGAGCTTCCCTTTTTTCAAAGGATGTTCCCTTTTTCAAAGGATGTTCCCTTTTTCAAA